ATATCGATACCATACAATTCCTCCATAATTTATCAAGTTTAGTAACGAAGCTGTATGTGGGCCCAAAAAACATGAAATTTTGAGAAGACTAAATACACAACCTACCTCAATGAAATCTTGTTTCGAAAGAACGATATGATGTCATAATACTTGAAAATGGCTGAGAAAGCCAGTAGGGGGACATTCTGAGATTTCGATTGGTTATTCATAAGTCATAGACGGAAGCAAATGTATGTAAGAAAGCATTTCCAAAAATGAAAAGAGTTGTGTTTGATTCAGTACATGAGCAATATCTCAGCAAATAGAAAAGATAGAAGGTTCTTATTTTATATTCTAGCTTGTTAATATTGGTAATTTCAGTTCCTAATTCCTACGAAACAATAGACTTTGTACTTTGACATTACAAACATCTAATTGGAACCAGTGCTACATTCAACATACCACGTGACACACACACACAAATCGATGTTTAAGTGTTCATTTAATATTTATTTTTTAAATTAAGAAATTAACTAACGTATAATACAAAAATTTTAATTATAATCTAAAATTTGATACGAAACTTAATGACATAAATTCATAAAATAGTAATTCAATAAAAGTTTGGATGCAAGTCAAAAAACATGATGATATCGCCTTTCAACCCATGACCTGTAGTGATAGGGTTAAGGTGACTTTAGGTTCAGAAACAAACCTACTAGAGTCAAGTAGTTTAACCTACATGTGGTTAAGGTGACTTTAGGTTCAGAAACAAACCTACCAGCATCAAGTAGTTTAACCTACAAGTATGTGATTAAGTTGACTTCACGTTCAGAGACAAACCTACCAGTGACTAGTAGTTTAACACACCTAATTAATGTAATAATAATATTAAAACTCCAGAGGTCTAAATGAATAAGTAAGCGTAAGTTACAAGTAATAAACTAAGGCACCAAAGCTATAAAGTGGGTGATGTTTAAGTGTCTATCCACGACAAAAAAAGATTATTTCTTCTCCTTTGATGGGTTCTTGGGTGTGTCCAAAAGGGATTCTATAAACCCATAATTTATTCATTTTCCCATTTTTGACAGCTTTTCTCCATTGCCAAGAAACTTTCAGGGTTTATTAAGTACGACTCGTATCCCCAGCATACTTGAAAATACAACTTAGATAATATATTGAAAACAGTAACCATAACAGGGAGAGGTTGGCCAGTAGGGGGTAAATTTCTAGACAACCTGACATCAGTATTTATTAAACCTGCATGGGAAATGGTGCACGAGTACAACATTCCAACAACGAACTTAATGATATAAAGGTACACATAGCACTGTCCTTCTCTAGTTTTATAGAATAGAATGAACAATTGTTCTGTTAAAGTATCCTTAACATAGAATATTGAGAACAAATAATGACACAGAATCATATATGCTGTAACATAAACTTGTCTGTTCACTAAAGGAAAACAAAAAGGGACAGACTAATGTCAGACTTTTTAAATGTCATTTAGTAAGAAGAAATGAGTAACACATTTAAAGTTCCTCCACATAAACTTAAGTATCACTAAAATATAAATTAATATTTTGGAACATTTAAATTTGTTATTTTTCTCCTTTTATTTCATTTTATCATTACTTATTATGTGTCAAATTTTCATTTGTTATTTACATATCTGTTAACTTTATTCTAATTTTAATTTATCAAATTTGTTAAAACATCCATCGACCACTTTGACTAATGAAGTATATAATCTTTCATGTAGTTTGAATACTTTAATGCCCCCCGTGAACTGATGAGTGGATTTTTCTCTCGGACATTTTGTGATGTATCATTAAGACCTAAAACAAAAAGTTACAAACAGAAAATAACAAAATGATAATTTTTTTTGGTATCATGATGTAGAGAGATATTAAGAGATCTGCCCTGACTGGGACATTTTGCTACGAGTCCAATTCTCTTACGAGGGCCAATTCCCAGGCAGTTAACTGTCCATTCTGAAGGTTATTACAGATGGTACTAGAAATGGGATGGGAACTGTAAGCTTGTGAATATTATGGTTCAACACCCTTCAGTTTAAAAGATTTACTTGCAAGTGTCCGAGTGGTATATCACCAACTCTTATAGATGATGGCACCGGAATAAATTTTCAACTTTTACGATTAGATTATTTCCAATTTAGGGTAATAAATCAAAAGGAAAACTATGTTGTTGCTGTAAAAAATGACTTCAAATACCTAGATATTTTGATATAATTAATGTTCACTGTATCTTGTTTCTTAATGTATGTATACTCACGCTACAGAACAGGGCACAACGTAAGGCTAACCCTTCGCTCGTAAGATACGGCATACTCAATAATTAATGACAGTTTAATTAAAAGAAAATATGATTGCTTGATTTAACCACAAAACTTTAGAATGCAAAATGTGTTTAAGCACATAAAACTTTTACTTATATTTGCACTTCTTCAGATTTTTACATTTTTTTTAAATAAAGAAATTGTAAACATTCACTTACCACCACCATGAGTGTAAAAATCCTGGAGGCTCCCCTAATGTTATGTTTTTTTCCCATCTTATCTAAAAAAGAAAATACTATCAGAAGTTAGTAAATAATAAAATATCAGTTAAACATTTGTACAGTGTCTCATCTGCACCTGTATGAAAATAACATCTAAAATGTCTTAAAATGTAAGTTGAGAAAAATAAGCATTTCTCTACTTTCCAAAGTTGGTGTAATAAAACAATAACAAGACATAACTTAAAAACGACAAATGATATTTGGTCCTTCAAGGCTATCATTATACAACCAAATATAAAAATTTAAACCAACTCTGTATTTTTTAAGAAATCACAAACTCCCCCCCTTAAACTTTTGGAAAACGTTAGCCTACACTACTGCCAATGACAACTCATTCATCAGAAAACGTTAGCCTACACTACTGCCAATGACAACTCATTCATCAGAAAACGTTAGCCTACACTACTGCCAATGACAGCTCATTCATCACGATAGTTTCCTGTTAGAAAAATAAAACT